CCCCCCCCCCACCATGGGCTGAGCCCCGTCTCGCCCCGCAGCTCATCACACCTCACGCCATCCGGGTGCAGACCCCTCCGCGGCACATCCCCGGCGTGGTGGAGGTGACGCTCTCCTACAAGTCCAAGCAGTTCTGCAAGGGTGCCCCCGGACGCTTCGTCTACACCGGTGAGGGGTGCAGACCCCCGGGAAGGGCGCACAGACCCCCAGGACGGTACCCAAGGGATCTCTGTGCCCGCTGCCCAGCCCTGGGGCTGCTACCAGCCCCTGGGGACAGCCCTGCCCTGCCCCGGGACCCCCCCCATGGGTGGCTCTGCTGCAGGGTTAGGGTGAGGGGATGGGCAGGGTGCGAGGGGACGGGTGTAGGGCAAGGGTTTGGGGCAGGACAGGGTTGGGTTATGGGGCAGGGGGTAGAGTTAGGGGCAGGGTAGTGTTGTGACTGGGGGGGGGGAACCTGCTGGTGGGGACAGGGTTGGGGGTAGGATTGGGGTGATGGAGTGAGGGTTATTGCAAACCACTACTGAAAACCCCGGGCAGCAAGCCCGGGGGCCCTGCACATGTGTACGGCATGAGCAGGGCCACGGACACGTGTGCGGCACGAGTGGGGCAGCGTGCACACGTGTGCGGCGTGAGTGGGGCCATGCACATGTGTGTGGCATGAGCGGGGCCATGCACACGTGGGGTGTGAGCAGGGCAGCGTGCACGGTGCGGTGGAGAATCGGTCCCACTGTGGTGGCCGTGTGCCGTGTGCCGTGTGCCGTGGCCTGTTGCCGCTGGCTCGGGCAGTCTGTCCTCACACCAGCTCCGTCCCGTGCTGCAGGTTGCCCTGGCTCCTGCCCTGCTCCAGCACCGTTCTGTGCCCCCGGGACCCCCGGCAGTGGGGCTGGCAGCTGGGGCTGTCGGACAGGGGGTTGGGAGAGGAAGGGGTGCAGGGGCTGTTGGCACAGGTGGGGGACAGGGGGGACAGCTGGGGTGTCCCTGCAGGAAGTGGGGTTCCCCCCCTGCTACACCCCAGCTCAACCCTTCACCTCACGGTCTGTGCCTCAGTTTCCCCATGGGGCCGGGCCGGGGGAGGACAGGGGGGCCCTGTGCGCAGCAGCCGCTGAGCCCCTCTCTCTCGGCAGCGCTGAACGAGCCCACCATCGACTATGGGTTCCAGCGGCTGCAGAAGGTCATCCCCCGGCACCCCGGGGACCCCGAGCGCCTGCCCAAGGTAGGGACCCCCCCGCCTGGGGTTTGGCGGGGATGCCGTGCTCTGCTGTGCTCGGTGACACCCACGGGTGCAGGGAGGGACACGCCATCACCCATGGGTGCTGGGCACCGCCTCGCCTCGACCCAGGGGTCTTCCCTGGCAGTGCCAGAGGACTAAGGGACAGGGAGGGGGATGCAGAGCCCTTGTGCCCCTCCCGACGGCACTGGGTGCAGCCTGCGGGCTGGCCAGGGTCCCTAACCTCCAGATCCCGCTGTGTGTGGGGGTCCCTGTGTGTGGGGGTCTGTGCTGTTTGCCCCCCACCCCGGCAGAGCCTGGGGAAGGGTGGGCCATGGGGGGGCCACGGGGGGACAAAATGGGCCCCCGCCCTGTGGGTCCGCTGTGGCAGCGCTGGGCTGGGGCTTTGGGCATTGCACGGCAGCTCGGGGACGTGCCAACGTGGGGACATGTCACTGGTGTGGGGACATGGAGAGGTGGCGGGGCAGGGTGCCTGCATGTCCCCCATGTGCAGATGGGGCTGGGGTGGGGGTGCGGGTCCCCCCTGAGCCCCATCCCGCTCCCTGCCCAGGAGGTCCTGCTGAAGCGGGCAGCCGACCTGGTGGAGGCTCTCTACGGGATGCCGCACAGCAACCAGGTAC